CACTCTCCACTTTTAGAGGTTGGCGGGGCGCAGCTTCCGTCCGTTATAGAGCGTTTTCACATGACGTCACGGCGGCCATATTGGTGTTCCAAAACAATGAAAAGGCGGCCATGTTGGTGTACCTAGAAAATCCTCTGGGATTTGAACTCTTTTCTCATGTAAATGCTTTCTTTTGTTCCAATGAATATGTCAAGAGATGCTGGCCACGTGAGTGAAAACGCTCTATAGAAATCGCGCTGAAATCACCCCTTTTATGTGCGAACAGAATCCGGTTTTCATGCCGGCGCAAAATCTATCGAGTATAGTGTGGGCTAGCCTAAAATTCAACCTGTTGGACTCAGCGTTTTCTCAACTTTGCCGTGGCTTGTTTTTTAAAGAGGCGAAAATGGTTTAGGACACTGGTTCTTGCGCGAATATCTTCTGAGACTAGTCGGCGGATTATTTCAAATTCAAGTCAGCTGTTCTCTAATTATTTCTTTTGGTAATTATAAGGCTTAACTACTTAGCCTGCGAACTGCAGACGTATTTTCGGTCGTCGCTTCTCTTTTTCCGAATTAGGTAGAGAGGCGACGACCAGAAATACGTCTGCGGTTCGCGGGTTGATAACTACTCGGCCAACACGTTGCTTATATAGACCTTTTGGTGTGATTTGATTAACATTTGTTTAATGATCCTAACTCGGCTCATCACAGGTTCAACTGCAAATTTATTAAACTTTAATTTTAGAATGATGCACAGTGGACAAATAAAAAAAGTAAAACTTGAAAATTGCGCTATGTTTTGAGATTATCTTTTTATTTTTCGTAGATTGCGAGCAGTCCCTCTTGAGTCAGTCGAGTCTAAGCTCGGCAGGACTGGAGAGGGGAAAAGGCCGAGAGGGAAATGGAGCTTCCCCTCGGCTTCTTGTCTTTTTTTTTTCGCTCGCTTCGCTCGATTTCCTTGCTCGCGTGACCATCCTGAGGGACTGCTCGCAGTCTATATTTTTCGTAGACTAATCTTTGCTTCGGACTGAAGAAAATTGGAACAGACTACAAA